ATAAATTTAGCCATGCTGCAAATTTACTTTAAATTAAATCAGATCTTTATCAAAGAGGCTGGAATTGGTGTTAAAAATTGCTCATTTCTGCCACCCCCCCATAATCTCTGCTCTTCCACCATCATTGCTACCCTGCTTGGAAAGCAATACAAGCAGTCACTGTCACATCTTTGCTGTTCCAGCTCACACAGCTATCCCCACTAGGGTTTGTTTTAATGGCTTAAAGCAAAGAAAGGGCATTTGTATACAGGGAGGCAAGCGGAATCACCATCTCTGTCACCAAGCATTCCCTTTGTAGGCCTGCCATCTGAATTAAAACAAACAAAAAAAACCCCTGAACCAAGTTTTTCCTACAGCTAGTGATATTAAAAATGTAACCCCAACTGATTTACAAAGGTAACAAGAGCACGGTGGTGGCAGTACATGAATGCTGTCTTAAAGCCACCAGAATCAGCAGTGCATGTATTACAATGAGTTAGTCACAAAGCCATGTTTTTACAGCTAAATATCAAAAACTTTCATTGTTAATCTCAATGGTTCATCATCAGTTTAGGTTAAGCTAAGGCTACAGAGCTATTGAGAGAAACAGTGCCTCCTGCCCGGCACCAGCTCTCACAGCGCACACACCCCTGCAGAGCCCAGCATCCCTCCCCGCCAAATGAGCACCCAGATGCGAGCCAGATGTGCCACCACTGTGTGATTGAGAGTCACCACTGCCCTGCCTGCCACCCAGCATGCAATTACCTAAAAAAGATGGTTCGCAGAGAGGTTTCTGCTTCAGATAATCTGTGAATTGTCTTCTGAGCTGTTTGTACAACATGCAGCGTCATGGTTGACGATGGTGATTTAATAAGTGAAAAATGAGTGCTTGGCATACCTTCCTCTGGGCAGGCAGTGGCAGAGGCAGTCGTACGTCAGTGCGCCCCTGCTGAGCGGTGCTTCGTGGGGAGGCAGGAGATTTAGTGCTCAGATTCAGTTTGTCACATGCTTCATTTCTGCCTTGACACCTAGCCTAATTACATGTCTACAAAGGATAACTGTCCATACCCCTCTATTACCATGATACAAGGGCTACAGGCAAATTCTAGATAAAGCAGTAGCTGATTCAAGACCAGGAAAGGTAAGCAACGAAGTACGACACACATGAATTTCAGTGGTGTTTTCGTATCTGAGGTCTGATGGTTGAGGAAGCAGGACTATACACTGGTTTGTTGAAGGAAGGAGTCTCCCATGGTGAGCCCATAGCTCACCAAAGCACTGGGGCTGCACAGTATCATCTAGGGTTCAGCAAGAACCTGAATCAGAATAAAGATGCCTGCATTCCCCCTCCTGCACAGCTTGCCATGCCATGCTGCTCCCACCCCGACATCCCTCCCCACTGCCAGGCTGCAGCCGTGGCAGCCCCATGCTCCCCTCAGCGCCCATGGAGAGGGGAAGGGCTGGCTCCTGCACTCATCCTGGCACAAAGAGGAATTAAAATGTGCAACCAGTGCCAGGGGCAGAGTGCTGCCAGAGAGGGAGGTGACAGTCACCATGCTACACCACAGCACATGTGTGTCCTTTCCTCCCAGGAAGATGACACCTGGCCTATGATACCCTGTTCCATCCCTTCCACCGCCCTTGCCCAAAAGACCTCTCTCTGCAGCTAGCCTGAAGGGCTGGACACATCTGTTGATGATGCATCACTTTGGACATGCGCTTTTCTCACGTGTCCACTTCTCAGGGCTCACTGCTAACCCAGCTCCATGGCAGTGCACCCGAGTGACAGTATGTGCACGGTAATTGTACAGCCACATGTCTGTGCTCGTCTCCTTCACCTCGCAGCCTTACTGACACAGCACAAAGGCTCTCTTTCAGCAAAAAAGCAGCAAATACTCCTGTGATCCCTGACATGCTAGTGTCCAGCAAAAACTAACGCAATCATTTCTTCAGGCAGAAGGGTGAGCTGTCTGTTTGCATGGTGCCACACACGTGGCTGCAAATCCCAGCTGCCCCAGCCTCGCCTGCAACTCCAGGGCTTGCCATCCTCCAAGCCCACAGCACAAGAAAGTCACGCAGCCCACATCTACATCATGTAAAATTAGCTTATTTGTTGTTCTTAATACACTAGGAAGGCTTCCACAAGATGTCAGCCTAACTAAATGACAATGCTAGCCTCAGGGTGCAATTCTACTTTTCCAGCACATGCATTTAGCAGGGAAACCAGTTCTGCTGCTGCTGGAGGAGCAGGGTAAGGGAGAAGCCCCTGAAAGGGTTATTTGGTCCTAGCAAGCTTATTCCTGAGGTGGACACGCTTTTTTCCCCTCTCCTGTTGCACATGATGATTCAGGCCATTACTTCAAAGTGCCCATTCTGGCAGAAGTCCCAAGATAGCACTCATAGGTGGTTTTCCTCAGCATGCAAGCGAGTTTTTAGTCTCAGGTGAAATGAAATTGTGTGAGTTTTGTGGGCAGCTGGGGTTTATTCCCAGCCTACTGTACCTCAACACCCCAGGCAGCTCCCAAGGAACAATGTGAATATTACAGCAGAGTTCTAGACTTAAGAGAATCAGATGCATGCTTCTGGTAATATCTGTTATTTCACAAGCGCACAGAAAAAGTGCACATGTTTCGCTAAGAAAAGCGCCCATAAAGTTCGCGTTAACAGTTTCCCAAACAGGAAACTCGCTGGCAAGGTGCTAAATAGCCCTTGTTTGGTTATGGGCCAAAGAGTGGAGAGCTTTAGAAAGGAAGCAACTTACCGTGTTTGAACATTAACTCTTAACTCTGTGCCAAATTACACAATCTTGATGTGGGAGGAACCTACCAACAGATACTGATGCAAAAGAGCAAAATGTTTCTAAAAGATACCTAATTTCAGTCTCCTGGTAATAGCAAAACCAGATAGGACAGGAGAGGAGTAATATTTGACCTTACAGCCATTGTAATTTTCTTAATTACACCCTTTGGAACACTGTTTTTAAATGTTATGTTATCATATTTAAATGTTATTAAAATTCAAATCAACACTTCAAATCAGGATTTTACACCAGATGAGCTGCTATGGGAAGCACAACCACAGGTACTTCAGTGCAGTAGTTCCATCAGACAGCTGGCAACTGACAGCTAAGGCTGGATTTTAGCTTCTGTACTTTTTGTACAGTGAACACTAAATGTGAAGAAACTCTTTAAATAGGTTTATGTAATTTCTTTGCATGTATTTCTTTCACTCTAGAACAAATGTGAAAATATTTACTATGGCTGAGCAATTTAAGAAATTTATCTAGCATTTCCTAATTTGCTTTATCATTAAAGATACGTACTTTCCTGATGGGTTGGAGGTGGGGTTTTGTTGTTGTTTTGCTTTGGTTTTGGGGTGGGTTTGAGGTTTTATTTTTGTTTGTTTATTTTTAAAGAGTTCATGTTCTGCATCCCTTTACTTTCCACTTAGCACTTGCCTTCAGCCTGCTCTGGACAGGCAGTCAGTATTACAATTATGCCACAGGACAGTGAAGGGAGAAGCAGGCAGAAAATAAGTCTTAGTTTAAACAAGTACCTCTAAGGAACCAGAGCTTAATAACAAAGGTAAATGGCCATTTTACTTAAAGTCTTCTTTTGACACAATTCATCACCTTCCTCCATCAGCATGGGAAGTTTGTTGTTCTCAGCTCATCCCATATCTTGAGGTTGTGATACCTCACCGCTACAGAGTGAACGTTTTCACCTGCCTTCTACTACATTGTTGCTTTATCTCTCAAGGTGAAAATAAAAAAAGCTTATTCACGTTGCTTGGAGTGGGAAGCTAACACCCCCCTGCCTCATCCACATTGAGTGAAGGCCAGAGCAGCTGCTCCAAAGGCTTTCCTGCACATCCATGCAAAAATCCCCAGACCCTAAAAAAAATGTAAATCGTCTGTACATTTACCATTTACCCTCATAAATCAGCTGTCCCTGAGGAGAGTTTGCTCCAGATAAAAGGGCAATGAACTTTTAAAGCCAGCAGCCATGACAGCACATTTGCCTCCTCCACGCTGGGCATGCATGCTCCAGCCAAAGACCAGCTCGGCTGTAACAGCACAGACAGCTTTACAGGGTCACCGTTTCTGCAAATGCAAATTTCTGCAACTCTGAAACACACAGGATAACTGTTACGGACCTACCCTGCAGCAAGATGCTAATAGAAGTAACGTCCCCCTTTTACAGGGGGGCACATAACACCAGAATGTAATTGGTGACCACAAGGAAGCCCTCACACTGCTCTGAGCCCCGACAGTAAATGCCAACATCACGATTTCCTCTCCTGCACTCCAGTCCCCAGGAAAAGGCAAGTACAAAAGCCACCGTTTGGGGGGTGGGAAAATAGATTTTTCTAGTTTCATAACTGCATGCTGTCAAGCTGGATTCCAATTAAATCTTTCCTGTGCCCTAACACAAGCTTTGCTTTTTCCAGAAATTTCTCATCGCTTGAACACTCACTCCTGTCCTTCGCTCCCAGACTGTGTGCTGTACTTTCTGACACACCACCTTTACCTAAATGACTGTTCTCTCCCTTTACCACTTTTGCAGGGACCACAGTCAAACACAGTTGTTATGCATAGCTTTAAGCTGCCAAATCCCTCTCACCTCCGTGAAAAGCTGGTGCTAACCAGCACTATTCAAACTGCGCATACTTTGCATCTAAAAGTTCCTTTTATGCAGCAATATTTAACAGAAAACCAGCAGCAGCTAGAACTGAGGCACTTCCAACCGCAGCTCTGCGCCGCTTTTAATACCAGCTGAATACAGCCAGCACAGATGTAGGAGGGGGGGAGCGGGGTGGTGCAAGTCTTTCCTATTCCTTCTACTGCGGGGACGAAGGACTCCTACCGTTGGATTTTTTTTCCCCTTCTGTCAGTGGTCTTTAACACGATCACAGTATGCACCACAATGCTTTAAAACAGCAAAGCTTCTGGAAAACCCAAACAAAAGGAACGTCACCAGGTGACGTCAGCCTATATACAGCACTGTGTGGTCGCAGCGCATAAGCAAATCCATTCTTGTACCGCTTCCCTGAAAAGCTTTTCAGTAAATGCACTCATGCTACTACAGGAGCTTCTCTCAGCAATAAGCCACCCATCTGCCATCAACAAGTTAGGACTAAGGGAAGCCACAGCTGCGGAAAGAGAAAACATGAGCTTCAATTAAACAGCTGAGCAGCCACAGAGGACGAAAACTTGTATTAAGCATTGATTTAAAAATCGCAGACCTGTCAGAGAAGATCAAGCCAGTGATTTCAAAAGGAATATTCCAAGAGAGCATCGTGGATTCAATTTTGCACTAATATCAAAGGACACTAAACCCAGTAAATTATTCAAAGGCTATCTTACATTAGAGCCTTTTACAGACTCACCGCGTTGAGTCTAAAACTACGACTGAATGCAACCTCCAATGTACTCAAAAGAATGGGTAAGTTCCTGCATTTCTATATACCTTGTATAATGAATGACCAGCTATGCTTTAAAGGAGCAGTTAGATGCTAAAGCAAATTTTTCTGCACTGAACCTTATGAAAAAAAAAATGTTTTCCGATTGTGACACTGTAGTCCTCCGTAATAGAGATAAAGACTCATCCTAAGTGTAATATCCAAGTATTCTGTTTTTTGTAGTAAGTTGTTTCTTGCATTTAGAATTAGCTTGTCAGAAATGCATGGCAATGTTATCTGCAGTGAAATCTTCCATCGTGATGTTCAAAGTGTACTGATAAGGCTATCCTATCTTGTTGTTTTCCTAAATTATATTCTGCAGGCTTACATTTCAAGTGGCCATTAGGGGCTCGTATGCTGGCAGCACTATATGCAATGAGTATGGTTTTAAAAATGCTGCCTGCCTTGGGCATGGCTTGTCCACCAAAATGTCGCTGTGAGAAGCTGCTCTTTTACTGTGACTCTCAGGGGTTTCACTCAGTGCCAAACACCACTGAAAAGGGCTCGCTAGGTTTGTCACTGAGGCACAATTATATTTCTGAACTTGAAAGGGATCAATTTGCAAGCTTCAGTCAACTTACTTGGCTTCACTTAGATCATAATCAAATTGCAACAGTCAGAGAAGATTCTTTTCAAGGACTGTATAAACTTAAGGAATTAGTCTTAAGTTCCAACAAAATCTTTCATTTGCCAAACACAACTTTTAGCCAGCTGCTTAACCTGCAGAATTTGGACCTCTCTTTTAATCAGTTATCCTCTCTGCACCCCGAGCTCTTCTACGGCCTTCGCAAGCTACAGACCTTGCACTTGCGTTCCAACTCCCTGCGGACCATCCCGGTCCGCCTGTTCTGGGACTGTCGTAGCCTGGAGTTCCTGGATTTGAGCACAAACCGCTTGCGAAGTTTGGCTCGCAACGGATTTGCAGGATTAATCAAGCTGAGGGAGCTTCACCTAGAGCACAACCAGCTGACAAAGATTAATTTTGCTCACTTCCTCCGGCTGAGCAGCCTGCACACGCTCTTCTTGCAGTGGAACAAAATTAGCAACTTGACATGTGGGATGGAATGGACTTGGGGCACCTTAGAAAAGCTTGATTTGACTGGAAACGAAATCAAAGCCATTGACCTAACCGTCTTTGAAACTATGCCTAACCTTAAAACCCTCCTAATGGATAACAACAAGATCACCACTCTGGATTCCAAGATCCTAAGTTCACTGACATCCCTCACCACCGTGGGCCTCTCCGGCAATCTGTGGGAATGCAGCCCAAAGATCTGCGCCTTGGCCACATGGTTGAGTGGCTTCCAAGGTCGGTGGGAGCACTCCATCCTCTGCCACAGCCCCGACCACACCCAGGGAGAGGATATTCTGGATGCAGTGTATGGTTTTCAGCTTTGCTGGAATTTATCAACTGTTGTTACGCCCGTGGCTACGACGTATGCAGCTCCGACTACTGAGTACACGAAAAGAATAAGCTCTTCTCATTTCCATATGGGCGACAAAGAGATTCCAACTACGGCAGGCATGGTCGTTACCACTGAAGAACATTTCCCCGAGCCAAACAATGCCATCTTCACTCAGAGGGTAATTACAGGAACAATGGCTTTATTGTTTTCTTTCTTTTTTATCATTTTTATAGTGTTCATCTCCAGGAAGTGCTGCCCTCCCACATTAAGAAGAATTAGGCAGTGCTCAATGATTCAAAACCACAGGCAGCTCCGATCCCAAACACGGCTGCATATGGCAAATATATCAGACCAAGGACCATATAACGAATACGAACCCACGCACGAAGGACCCTTCATCATCATTAATGGCTACGGACAGTGCAAGTGTCAGCAGCTGCCGTATAAAGAATGTGAAGTATAATACCTACATGCCATCAAAAATTAAATCAGATAAGTAACCTATTTTAAAATTGTAGGGGACCTACATCAGATTCTAATTTTTACAAATGTTGACATAAAGCCTAATTTTCCAAGCTACTTAATGGAAACATTGTTTATGGAGTGGTGCAGTATTTTTAAGTTTTTTAAAAAATAAATCCATAATATTTTCAGTGTTAAAGAAGCAATGATTACATTAAAGTTGCACTCCTAATGTTTAAAAGTCTAAAAAGATGCTCACCTCAAACTATGTAAAATGTTTCATGTTATGTAATTATATGACTGTGTGTAAACATTTATACCCAAGTCTCCACATTCTACTTTTTCTAATGAAAACAGTCCGAGGGGATGGATACTGGATATCTGTACAGAGATCTGCGGGGGGACATACACTCCGTTTGTTCCACTGCAGCTGTAGGATCCCAAACACTCCAGCTGGCTCCGTTCACTTTAAAGGCAGCCGTGGAGGAAGATTTTCCTCCTCTGATAATTTCACTCCAGTAAAAAAGGGGAAGGAAGAAAGAAAAAAAAAAAAGCAACAAAGGTCCAGGTGGGGATTTAAGTGCATTGGGAACTGGTGAATTTATTTTTAAATACAGTTTTCCTATCTGCATATTCATAGTTTGGCTTGCTTACATGGACCTTGCTAAAGCTCACAATAGATACAGAATGGAGCAGTTCACACGGTCACAAATTAGCAGGACGATCACAAATTAGCAAGATGACTCTCCAGGCGCTTACAAAGTAGGCAGTGCAGCTTATTTAGGAAGGCTCAGTACGACAGGATCGATTCTAAATATTAAGTGCATTCAATTCTTATCGGCTCTCTGGTTTGACTTGATGATGCTTTTCATGAATTCAGGCTAATTACTTACAACTATGAACAAACAGCATTTCAACACCTTTTCATGTGTAAATACCCTTAATGCAAGTTTTTCTTAATTAAAAGTAAATATCAACCGCGAGGTTAAGGAGAAGAGGGAAGGAAGGAAGAAGCCTCTCTTTGTCCCCCCACTGCCCCCCCCAGCTGAGGCTTCCTCTCGCCTAGAAGCTATTTTCATGCACTAACTCCACTGGTTTCTTTGGAGACAGAATTAGCCCCTGTAATATAAGCTCTCACTTGTCCTCCTCTTCCAAAATGCAAGGTAATTACCAGGTTGGTTTTGGTTTTTGTTTTTTTTTTTTTTTTTTAAAAAAAGTACCTTCTGATAAGTATAAGTTAGGATAATATAATTAGTTTATAGAATAGCTCACTGAAAAATGTTTCATTTCTTGATATGGGACAGAATCTAAACTAGTATGCCGTTGAAAAAATCTTGTATAAATATATATACACACACACGCACCTCGTTCTTAAGGAGTAATTTGGTTTCTTTAGCCAGAAGTACCATATTGCTATTTATACTATACTATGAAATTATATGTAAATATTTGCAGATCTATGCAGCAGTGGTGGTACTCAGATGCCACAGGGGCGGGGGGGTGGGGGGGTCTGCAAAGAATTACATTATTTTTAAGTCAACTGCTCAAATATTGTAAACATTCTAACCAAAGCTAAAAGGACCAGAGGGATGGAAATTTTTTTAATATATATATACACATGTATGTATAACTGAAAAAAAAAAGTGTTGTGTCCAATGCTGCAGTGTTAAACAATTACCAGCATACACCGATGAAAAAAATTCCTCACAGTGTTGACATACTTTGAACAAATCAGTAATTACAGTATGCTAATTGTGTTGTACTAAACTATTCTGCAAACTTTTTAAACAGAAAAGTCACTGCATAAAAGTCTGTTTGCTATTTCACTCTGCTTTTATATATCTGTATTACCACTTAGTGAGGTATTTAGGGTGCAATTATACAACAGTTTGATGTTTTATTGTGAAATGAATTCGTCCAAGGCAACTATAGCAAGATACGTGTGACTTCTGTTAAGATTTTACATAAAGATTTTTCAATTACTGGTTTTGAAGATATTAATTTGCATTATTTTACTTTTACATACAGTGCCCTTATTATAAAACAAATATTTTGTTTACTTCCTGTGACTCTGTACTTTAATGGAAGAGATTCAGTGAAGCCTAATGGTTTTCCATAGAGATACGTTTGAACCCTCGTAACTGTTTATACTGTGATGAGCTGATTTACACCTATTCTAGAAAAATCAATTACTGCTTTTAACTGAATACAATAAATCCTGTGGGGCAGGTGGACAAAGAGCAAATATTCTGTATGATTAAATCTCACCTGAGCCAGAAGGCCAGACCTAAGCTGATAAATACAAAAATGTATTGGCATCCAAGGGTATTTAGCTGCTTGTAGAAAGACTTGCTTCATTCCTTACCACGAATAAGCGCTCACAGCTCTTCCCTTACATCCAGGCTTTTGCTCTGCTCTGGGCAAATGAGCACGCATCACTGCCTCAGCAGCAACCTGCCCCTGCCTGTGCACCTCCCTTACCTCGCGTTAACCAACACGATGGTCTGCACCACGGGAAATTGGAAAGCAGACACTTTTGGGATGATTTTCATGTACAGCTGTAGGGTACCAGCAGAGACAAAGTTATAACTGAACTCATTAATTATACTGGCAGCCAAATAGTCCGTCTACACTATTATCAACCATCAGATGTCAATACTAAACTCTGATGTCCTCAGCTGCATTTGTAAGAAGGACTTCCACCTTTCTCCTCCACGCCCAGCAGAAACCCTTGCTGTAAGACAGTTCAGAAGGTACCACATCAGTCTTCCACATGGTAACAAGACCTGGCCACTTGACTGAAGTGCTGAGGTTCCTCCCGAGGAGGTGCTTTCCCAACACCCTAGCTCTGCACTGAAACCCACTCCAGCTTTATTAGCTTATAATTATGCCCAGGAAGAGTAAAGACAGATGTTCCAGCAATGCTGGATTTAATCCTCTTCTCCACCCCAGCCACTCATACCAATTTTCCAAGCATTAAAGCACTGTCCCAGTGTCTCTCAGAGCAAACCCAGGCACCCAACTTCTCTTCCCCACCAGTGTCCCCACAGTTTTCACTGGTCCTGCAGTGCTGCCTTGGCTTGCAGACAGCAAAGCAGGAGGCCAGCAGACACAGCCTAGCACAGCACTGTTCAATTTTACTTTGACTCTCTGTACTACACACTAATACGCAGCCAATCTCCCAAATGCCATGGTTTATGTCTGCCATTTCCAAAACCATTTGTTGCCAGGTTCCAGGTGTAAGCAAAGCAATTCTGCAAACATTACATTTAGGGTAACAGGTATCATAAAACTCACAGAATGTCAAACACTAGCAGTGAAGTCAACTTGAATTCCCTTAGACGGACAGCAAACAGCAGGCAAAGCCATCACTCTACACAAGGTACACAAGGACATGACCAGGGGCTGTTAATTTGGGGTTTTTGTTTTCTTTTTGTGGGGTTTGTTTTTTTTGTGTTTTTTTTTTAAAAGTTACTGTCTTCCATTCTCAATTGCTTGTAACTCTTTCAGGCAAGGAGGGTATTGTAATAATTGCATTACTCAGCAGTCTCTGATTTTGTTTATGGAACAAGAACCATGATGGTTTGATTCAAATTAATTGTATTTCGGTATGAGTACTGGCTGATGACAAGAGGTTGTTAACTTGCTCTCCCCAAATATCTCTGTTGCACAGCCTCAGTTTCTACAGATACTAAATGGCATCATAGGTGCTTCACCACCTCTAGGCACAGCCTCATTCAAGTGTTCAGGGCCTTTTAGAAATCAAAATTTCTTCTACTGCTCCCGAGATCCTCATCCCATCCAAAGATCTCCTCCAGCCATCTTTTCCTCCTTCCTACCCTAACATTGGTGAAATGCAAACCTAGCAGTAAAAGTTCAATTTTTGAGTAATCGTACTGGAACAGGTCTGAATTAATGCTTTCAGTTCCCTTCTCATTAGTTGCTCTGCATTAGATCATTGTTTGAATGCACACAACTAAAAATTACTCGATAAAGAGTAAAATGGGCTAGCGTTTAGTGTCCAGCTGAAGTGTTCCCCTGCACAGAGCTCCCATTTCCCATCACATGGAAACATAATTAATGTCACTGTATCAATGTTTGGTTTTGTTTTCTTTGCGCCCAAGCAGAAATTATCTGATTTTTTTCAGTGATAAGCCTAGCCTGCATGCAAATCTAAGCATCTGAGCTTATGTCCCATTACCTCCCTTAGAAGACAGTGGCCTATTGTTAACATGTAAAATCAGAAAATCCAGTGGCTTTAAACCAGAAATCTGCACTACACACTTATTTTTTAATGTGTCTAAGTTAATTTCTGTACTACTTTAATGAAAATAAAGTTGATTTAATTTCGTGATCTGCGTAGCTATCAAAATCCATCTGTTCAGACCTATGAAATCTACCCAGAAGCTGAATTTCATCTTTCTTATGAAGTTTTCCATAAAAATTAAAAGTTCAGAGAGCGCTACAGTATTTCTCCTCCCCCCAAAAAGGAACAAGCAAGAAAACAACAAAAATCAAAGGCAGTTGTACAGCAGCCACTCCTCCCTCCCCATGCCCTTTCTCCATTGCAAAAAGTCCCATACACTAAAAGTGTGCCGGGCTTCGCTTTTTAAGCCATCATGCTAGCAGGATGCTTAAAAATTATTTCAGAGTCAGCTGGAAATTCAGCATTTCACATCTTGTATAAAAACCTTTTGAGAAGTATCTGGGGAAAGGTAACAGAAGCTTTGATGGATGTAATCAAGCCTCAAACAGGGCAAAACTTGCGCTAAGGGCGAAACACCATGCAGCTTGTGCACCTATGGTGTTATCACTGAAAAGCTACACCTCCTATCCTTCAACCACTCCTTTGTAAAAAACCAAACAAAATCCACCCCATTTTTCTTTTTACTAATGAAAACATTAGTAACTGAACTATTCTACCAGCTTAGCAACCAGAGATTTTTAAAGAGTCCTAGATGCATTGTGTTTAAATTATGTTTAAAAGAGCCAACATCTGGTGGGAGGGGGTGTAAGTAATGGAGTAAAATGAAGTGCAGTGTACAGAAAAGTTTTGTTATTAAAATTGTGTATACTGTAAAACTGAATTTGCCTCTTTCTTCCTCCCTTTTCAAAGCCAGTCCATTTGCCATAATCATATCAAATACAGCACCTTCTGTTTTACTACAATAAATGAGCTGGTCTGCAAGGGTTCTT